AAAAAAAAAAAATAAAGAAAAAAAACAGCAATCTAGCAAATTGCAACTTTGACGTCTCTGCATTTCCATTCGTTAATGAGAGAACATCTCGCAAAGCTTTATTCATTTCAAAGCTTGCCTTTCAGCTACGTTTCGATAAATTTAATTATCATAATTCGGCAAACTGTGCATTTCCCTCTCCTTTCGTACGAACGAAGACCTCGTGTTCTCGATGAATTTTACACGTGACAGATTATAGTCACGTTTCTTTTCAACATCTCGACAAACTAAATTGGACAATCGGCTTCGTTAATTCGCACACGCGTTTCACACTTCGCGCGTCGATCTTTGGATAAAATAAAAATTGGTGAAACTTTGAAAACTATAGTGGGAAAATTTTATATAGTCGTGCGAACTATGTACACACAGTGCAATATTGTTTAGTACAATATAATTTTGTACAAAAAACTGAATTTGGGCCATAATAATAGTCATAATTTTCAACATCGTATAAGTTTTTAGTAATATAAAAGAGTCTAAAAGTTTAATGATCAATATTATTAATTATTAAAGTTCCAACACACGTAGTAAGTTCGAAGTACACATAGCGTTCACACGTAGAAGTTAATAATTCGTGTTATTAATAATATAAAAATAATATAAATAAAATAATAAAATAAAATAACATGCCTGAATAGTTGAAACTTGTAATTGAGTTTCGTTTAAATTTCGAGTTTCATCAGAGAACATAAAATGCTGAAAATTCTACATGGTTCCAATTTAATTGTGGTCAACAGTTATTTATAGAAGCCACAATTATTTCGTAAATATCACACGAGACAAAAATATTGACTTTTCAACTGGTGTTTGTTATTTCCTTTACAACAAATTTATTTATACTGCGTTGTATTATTGTAGCAAATTTGTTTCATTTTATTGCACGATTTTTAAAAATGCAAGTGACTTTCCTGTTGCGTCAGTTTTATACGAGCTCGGAATAACTTCGCAGCTCGTTTCATCTACTTTAATGTGATAATAATTTCTCATGCTATTCAAGGTGAAACATCTGCGAGTCGTTAGAAGATGGCAGAAAAATTCTTGCTTTCTGTAATCAACAAAACAGTCTCATTGTCTTCTATATGTATTGTAGTTTCGGTCTTTCCAGTTGCACCTTTGTTCTATGCTTGCCATATACATACTTCTACAGTGAAGTTTACTTAGATTTTAATGTTAATGTGTCTCTTCTTTTAGTTCATTGGAAAATCTTCTTCTTATACGCACAGGATGTAGAAAGAGACAAAGAGAGAGCTGTAGGTGCAATTGCGAAATAAATACACGTCAATAAAGATATAATAAAATTTGTGAATTAAATATTCTTTAATAAAAAATATATATATATATTTATAATTATTAACACATTTGGAAGTGTTCAGTAAAGGAAGAATGAAATATAGAATTTTGCTTTCAGATACATAAAAGAAGAGACGTATTATTAAGTCAAATTTAACGCAAACCGTGCGTGAGAGTATAAAACCTATTGTTTAGGAGTTAAATCAATGTTCGTTGAATTCCCCGTGTTCTGTCCGTTGAATAAAACATCACGAAAAATAAAGGAATTCATGCATTCAGCAGTTGAACATTTTTGTGCTGGACAGCTCCAATTCATAGCTTAATCGCGTTATTTGAAATAATGATTTATGGCTGTTTATTGTTGGACGATTTATTATATCGTCAGCCGTTTCGCTCTTTCCTCGTAAAAATTGATCGTGCCCTCGTGTCGTTCGTTTTGCTCGCCAGTTCACGCGAATTAATTTGCCACTGGTAAAAGCGAAATTCTGTCGATCATGTAACACGATTCACCTGTGTCGGGAAATTTACATTACATATTTGCCACCATTCCGCGGGGAAATTAGGGAGGAAATTTATTTTACGTGTTGAAACGATCGCTGTTTTGATTCCTTTTTATTTGGAAACGAGAGGATCATGAGCGTAGATCTTCAGAACAAAGACGGAGGTTCTAAACTTTTCAAAATTAATAATCAAGCCGACGTTAGAGAAAATATTTAGATATCGAAAACAGTTCGTGGTTCATTTTTAATTGAAAACCAGGAGACCATTTGTACGAGTATAATCTTCAGAATGACTGAAATTCCAGAAGTTTCAAAATTACTTAGAGTGGTTAGAGGGAATATTAGTATCGAGAAAAAATTCGTGGGGATTTTTAAAATAAATTCCTTCTCCGTCAAACGATGTAGAAATATTTCACCAATTTAATATTTTATAGAAAATATTTTATAAATTTAAACTATTTTATAAATTCGTTCATTGAAATACCTATTCATACCAATGTCTATTCATACTTTTTTTTTATCTTCGATGACGTCAAGGTTATACCACAAAGAATTCAAGAAATCCTAACATTTCGTCGTCTAATCCTTCAAGTTCAAAGCTGAATCAAATGGCGACAAAAAAATTTTACAGCAAGTTTTAAAAGATCGTTCTAAACGTTAGACTTCAGATTTATTCGCAAAAAAAAAAAAAATATTGTACATTTTTGAAGACTTTTGAATTTTGACGATTTTCGAGGATAAAAATGCTTTTACTTTCCAATTCACTGCGCGATTGAAAATTTAAAAACATCTTTAAAAAAAACAAACTCAAGATTGCCGAAGTAGAAGTCTCGCCTTTTAAAACGAAAACCAAGTGGATTGTCATAACAGTTACAATTAAGCTGCGGATTTTCTTTCAAACTCATAATTTTAATAAACAACATAATTAAGAAAGCAGAATCACCGTAGAAAGTCATTCTAGCTATCAAACATTATAGAAAGCATTATACTTTAGATAATTTATTTTTCAATTTCAGTGCAATTTTGTACAACTACATAAAAATCCGCAATCTAACTGTAACAGTTTAAAATATCGATAGTTTTTCATTGTCATTAGTTCGGTCATGCTATCTACTACATACTCAGAAATAAATACTGTTGAATGAGCAGAATATTCAAAGCATATTTCAAACATATGTTTAACACGAAACGAAGAAGAGGAAAGATTGGCTGAACGTTGCTTAACAAGTATTGGCTGACAGAGAGCCAAATTCACAGAAATTAATTGAGATGGAGGAAAGCAGACGAAGTTGACTGACGAAGGATAGCTAACACAGGATTAACTCTCGGGGCATTGATTAACGAAGATTGATTGGTATCAACTAATATCGAGACTGACTAATATAGATTAAACGATATAATGTTAGCTTGAAGTGACTCTCTGTGTGATTAGTTTTATATTTTCATTGATCGAACTAATTGACTAGAGATGCAAAAGATAAATGTAATATAATATATAATAAAATAAATGATAGATTAAAGGTATGATAATATAGAAAGAAGAATACATTTTAATTGTACCAATATTAATACCAGTCACAGAAACGCTTTCTAAGAATTTGAAATTGCTGGATTTATTAAGAGACTTACTAAAAAAAAGACGAAACGTACAAAAATAATATTAAATACAAGATCATTAGTTAGAAAATTCTTGTGGCAGTCGCAATGAAGCGAACTTGGCATAGCCCGTTTACTTCGACCAAAAAATCCAGAAAAAGAGGATAAAGGGGAAGATAATCATAATAATGATATCAGTCTCAGAAATTGCGTCACGAACTCTCATCGAGAATCTGAAACTAGTGGACTTATCAAGAGACGCGCAAAAAAGCGATACTAGATACAACACCGATAATTAGAAAATTCTTGTTTACAGTAACTATAGAATGAACAGCCAAAGCAGACATTCAGAGGGAAACTCCGAAAAGAGCAAGATAATAAAAACAATACAAAGATATAAAAATATAATAATAAAAAGACATAATGATATAAGAGAAAGAAAGGAAAATAGAAATTTCGTATTTCTATAACAATTATTATTGGAACAAAGATTTTATACAATTGTTCAAAAATCGGAGTCGATTTAACGTGATTATGTCTACAGTTACAATTTCATTCGATTTTTTTATTCGATTCGAGGAAAATCAGAAAAAAATCGATGTCAAAAAGAGAAAAACATAATGAGAGAAATATAAATTTAAACGATGATATTTACATGAAATTGATCCTACCAGGTTGAAAGTGAAATGATTATGAACGTTCAGAAAGATAAGAAAAAAATGAACAGAGATGGGCCATTTGGTGATGCGATAAACGTTAATTAAATATCGACTTTATTTCTTATTGCTCAACCATCCGTCGATTTGATTTTCGTTTTATGCTTTCCAACGTCTTCGATATTTTGATAAACGTGATAAACGTAATTTCCGGTGAAGAAAGTTCAAGGCAAGAAAATACGAGGTGAATCATTTTACTGTGAAATAGATATTGGACGTTTTCGATTGAAGTTTCAATGTTGCTATCTTAGTTAACATACTCACTAATGAATCTTTCTCAGAAGTGTACAGACCACCTAATCTTCTAGTGGATCATATACTTTCCACTCAAAGTTTTCATTTCATTTAGAATTTTTGTTTCTATTTTATTTAGTGTAGAAATCAATTTGATGCCATGTATTTGTTGGTTTTGCTTTAAGATCATTCTGAAACTGGAAAGAAACTCTCGAATGAAATTAATTATTCTAAATTGGGAAAATTGGATCACACTGGATCATACTTTTCAAACAACATCTTCGTGTATTCGAAGAAAGTTTTCACTTCATGATTGTTTTAGCTCTTTTCAAGTCTTTATATCGAGATATTCTTGGTCAAACACGTGTAGATTACTATCAAAAAATTTACAATTCACACTGTACATTGCAAATATGACGAATTTATAATGAAAAATTTAATGCAGAAGCTCCGAAGCTAACTTGCACATCAAAAGAATACTTCAAGATTAAATCGATAGTCAAAAGATGAGATCGAAAAAGATTATGTGGCGTCTTTATCATTGTAACATATCATATCGGTGAAAGAATTTAGACGAGGATAATTCATAATTAAAGACTTTGCTACACGGTGAAGATTTCAAACTGTACTCTGCGGACGAATTAACTTGCGAGCCAGGTAAACTCGCACAATACCGAATTCAGAATTGATCCTCGATTCAGAACTAGGTCAGCCATTGTTTTTTCAAAGTGGTCGACATGGTTCAACGAAATGAACAGTGGTTAACTTGATTCCGACTGACAAGCTCTCGCTGAAACCGACGATGTTTGTGTGCGTGTGAAAACGTTTTCCGGTTTCTTGTCTCGGATCCGCGAGCAATTTTTAGATTTCGTTAGAAATGAAATAACAGAGAACGAAAGACAGAACGGTTCTTTCTTCCTCTGCAGGATCTGCGAGGAGTTTTCTAGATTTCGTTTAAAAAAAAAAAAAAAAAAATAAGATGACGGGAGATGACGAAGGATAAAATGAAAAATCGTGCGAATCTGTTTCCAAAAGCATGAAATATCGTAAGTGAAGAGACAGAAAGAATTTTTAATATGAAGCTTAGACGAATATTTTCTAATTTTGAAACAATCGTATAAAGTGAGTCGGAAATCATCGAAAGGACAAAAGCCAGGATTAAAGAAGAATTTCGAACATTCATTTATTTATTGGTTACATTCGTAAAAGTTCTGAAGGGATAACGATGTTTCTTACAATCGTTTAATTATCTCGTTATTTTACATTCGATAACTGAATATGGATCTTCATAATATCTCCATTTATTTATTCTTTTCCACAAGGCCGTGTTTTCGATGTGTATTTTAAACAAATGTAAAAAAAAAGATGATTAATTAATTAAGATCCATGGAACGTTCCAAATCCTTCTTTCTCTGTAATAATTAAGTGGTATTTAAAATATGACAGACGTGTGTATCCATCCTTTTCTGACTGACTGCACTGTAATTCCTGCACGGAAAAACACGCGCATTTTCGCAAATAAAAATCTAAAAATCGCGTTTCGTTCTAGAAATAAATTCCTCCGGAGTACTTTCTTGCTTCGGAGGGACGAGGGACTTTTAGACTGACAGCGTAAAAAGCTCGGGACTCGGAATCTCGTTTCCTCCCGGTTGACAAGGGCAGAGCCGTATCGATCTCCCGGTTGTCTATCGACGTTAACTTAAAGGTACCTTTTCCCCTCTGGTTGACAGAGCTTTGCCAAGCGGCGACGAAGATCCAGGCATCTTTCCGTGGCCACATGTCGAGAAAGGAGCAGGCTACAGCCCTTGTGAAATCGGCGGAGAACGCCGTCGAGGACTTGGAGGACAAGGTAAGTCGGTAATTTCTCGTTCGTTTAGTTTAGTTTAGGCACGAAATTGGCCCATAAACTGGAACGAATCACCTCTTGTGCTTCTGTCACCTTAACTCTTTATTCCTGGAATTGACCCGTCTGCGGGATCAACGTAAAAAAAATGTCATGCTAACGCAACACTTTATTTAACACCAGTGTTACCGGTGATTGAGGCACAGAATTTTCATCGAAGAGGGATTAAAGTGAAAGAAACAGAAGCAAAAGCTTTGTAATACATCAGAGCACGAGAATTTTTATATATTTCATGAGGAACTATTTAATTCAATCATTTTCTATAAGGTTTCTAACATTACAAACTGGGTGTTTTGATCAGTAGCTCTAGCGTTAAAATTCTTTTTTATAAACTTATACGGTAGAACTTTGGGTAAAAAATAGTTTATAGTCTTTTCTGTACTTGTCTTTTTCTATACTTGTGACTTTCGTTTCATGTAACAGTTCAAGTTGAAATAAGTGGATTCAACCTATAAGAGTTCATTTAATCCCTTGTAAGCTTGTTTCGTGGATATCAAGTACAGAAATATTTATACTAAGTAGGTAAAGTATTTTTTTATATTTTCGAATTATCATCTGTAAACAGGACGTGGACACGTAGAATCTGTTGTTCAATACCAATTTGACAGAGGAAAAAATTAGAAAGGAGATACTATTAATCGACATTGTAACGTCAGGTTGTGTATCCCGTATTTCAAAATTTATTTTACATATCGTAATTGTGAAAGATATTTTTCTGGATTTTTTTTTTCATATATGAAAGTATTTCAAAATACTTTATAAAGAGTTTATGAAAAATTTCATTTATTCGAATATGTCGGTGGAGAAAATCGGATAATCGAGAATTTCGGATAATGAAGGTTCACCAGTCTTCTCCATATTCTGTTCCTAGTTATTTTTGGATAATAAGAGATAGTAGATGAGGATAAGAAAAGTTGATCAATTACAAGTTCGTATATAACTGGTTCGCATAAACGAGATTTGAACAAACGAAGTTCTACTGTATTGCACTGTTCAGGAATTAATTGGTTATTGACTAAAATTTGATTCAAGTAAATCAAGTCCATATAAACAGAGTTCTATTGTATATGAATTCGACGATGTATCTACTATAAAATATATTATATTATTTTAATTTTTAATTACGCTATTGTATATTATACTATTATTATTATGCAAATTTTTAATTATTTTAATTTTTAATTACGCTATTGTATATTATACTATTATTATTATGCAAATTGTTGAAATTAATTTACAATTCAAAGCCCGTATTTTGTCGTTCGAGGAGGGAAATTCCAGAGAACCGTTTAGTATTTTTTCATCTAGATTCTACGATTTTGTGAAATTTCAAGAATTCGAGGTTCTTTTACGTATTTTTAAATACATATAAGATAATTTTCTACATAATTTTTACACATAATAAAGCTTCTATTCAGATAGAAATTCATTTCATTCGTAAATTATTACGAGAGATACCATAATTTGAACATTTTAAATATCTTGCTCTATCTGTATTGCGCGCATTCTATGCATTTCTGCACTTTTAAATTTCTCATAAATATGAAAATCTACAGATCCGCATTGCAGTTACCTACAATAATAATAATGTTTGCTGTACGAAGCAAATTTCTCCTCAATCTTTCGAACTTTTTAGAAATGTAAATTTGCAAACATCGACCAATACGATTAACTAAAAAAAATAATTCGATTTAGCCGAATCGAATGTTCACTTCAGCAACAGATAACGTTGTTTTAACAAAACTAACGGCATGCGTCACTGTTGGAAACTTCGCAATCGATCCGTACGCTGCAACTATAGCCGAGCATCGTTACATGCCCGTTCAGCAGGGAATTCACCTTTAGTTCACATGCCGATAAAATTTATTCCCATTGTCTCTCGCGGGCACTGAGAATGATACATACGGGAACGGCAGGAAAAAATAAAATAAAGACGAAGATCACAGAGCATCTGTTAGAGTAAACATTAAATGTATTTTCTTAGCGCAAACTCTGTTTTTGGTATCGCGCGCGTAATATCGATTCACGTGGCGGCGTAGCAGCGTAGAATACTCGCATGCAGCAGATGAAAATAACGTACATTCTTTCCTGTTTTTCTCTAAATATCTTTATACGCGCTAAAATATTAATACTAATAGCATTAGCATTGATCAAATTAATGGACCAATTCGACATCAGGTTCGCTCCGTCGAAACCAAAAGTATTGTATTCACTCTCTCGCCGAAGAACAGCGTAGTTAATATAGTTATAATAAAAACATTGTAAAAACGTGTAAGAATATTTCAAATACTTTTCCGAACTTGACAGAAAGCGAAGAGAGAGAAAGAGAGAGAGAGAGAGAGAACAAATGAAATTTGCTCTTGGCGAGGAATAGTAGTAGTTTACAATACAAAAATATTGCACAGTTCACAAAGATACTTCAAGGAAAGCTGCTGGCTCCGATATCTCCTTCGCGAAACTTGAGAATAAAAAAGAAAAAAGAGAAGGAAAGAAAGAAAGAAAAAAAAATGGAGAAAGACGCAGGGAGATTCTTCGACGTTGAAATTTCTCAAATCTCAAGATGAAAAAAAAGTTACGGCAAACGTGGCGGCGGTATTTGAAAACTCTGGCATTAAAGTTTCCCTCCGGTTCTCCTCGGTCTAAGAGGTTTCCATTCCATTGAGGATTTCTGCTGTCGTAACTAGGTTGCAACCCATATGCATCGTGTACGTATTATAATAGGCGATGAAGTGCGGCTGGTTTAAAATTCAATGGGTCGTCCCCTCTCGAGATTAATTGGAAATCGATATTCTATTATCGAAAGTAATATCGTACTCCGCCGTGACCAATTCTTAATCAGATGCCTGATAGACAGACTTCGAGCCTCCTCGTCGTCGTGTTATCTTTCTGTATCATTTTCGTTCTTCTCTCTCTTTCTCTCTCACTCGTGTCCCGTTTCGCCGATTCCCTCTTCTTCAATTTCGATAATGCACCGTTGATCTTTGTTAAATCGGCGATCGTCGGACGAAAATTTTTTTCCTTTCACCGAAATCCATATTCGCTGTCGAAATTTATAGGCACTTGAGCTCCATTAGCGACGTAATGGAGATGGGAGAGGATGGCTTGCCTCTTTTAGTGGAAATATACATCTTGGTTAGAGAGGAATAAAAGGGATAACGCCTTGAAAGTGATATTTCTTACCGGGGATCGCTTTCTACACTACGAACAGACTTCTTAGCCTCCTTGAATTTTATCGGAGTTCATCTCTATCGACAACGATACGAGGGAAATCGTTGAAATTACAACGGGAATATTTTATACGGGGAATTAATTCGCTCGTGAAT